ACTTGTATCAGCCCTTATCGTCGTATAACTCACTTCATTTTCATTCTGTGATGCACTTTTTTCATGGGGTGAAAGTACAGGATTTGCTCTTTCTAACAAGCACCAAACCGTTTTTCAAAATCCATTTTCCGAGAAAATCACACGTTCGAACATTTTGTTCCCATAGGTTTTTGAGCAGCACATGCGAGTTTTTGAGCTTTCAGCAATAATAACTTCCTTCAAAGAGCTTGTTGGGGAGGGGCGAAGACATTTTTGAAGACTACGAGATTTCTGCTTTCTTATGTGTTTACCGTTGTCTGGAAGAATCGTCCCAGAAAATTAGGTCCCGAAGAACTTTAATTTCAGCCCCGAGAAGTCAAACCTTTCATAGGGATGCATTCAACTGTTCTTTATTCCTCAAGAAAACACCGTAATTTGCCTAAAACTGTCTCTCTGTGCATAATAAATCGAATCTAATGCGGTCTGCACAAGCAATTCTTGCCCTCGGATACGCCACGCACGCGCCTGTGGCTGGCAGTCCTCGAAATTGCGACCCCCTTCCGACCAAAATGCGACCCCTTCGTTCGAACAGTTCGAACGGACGGTTGACCCTGCTGTGACCGCATCCGTTCAGGTACTACTGAAAAATAATAATTTGGTTCTCTTTCAGTAAAGGGGGAATGTGGTGCGATAGATGCTGCCACCTACAAAATTACAATCTTTAGGGGTAGGAAATCGCGGGGGTTTGTGAAAGATTTCGCTTCTTTCATTTATATGTTCATTTTAGGTTCGTTTCGAATTCTACTAATGTGTTCATTGTGCCCAAACAACTGCTAGCAACGAGCGGTTCGTCTTTCTTCAGAACTGCAGCGAACAGTTCCCTTTTAATATAGTTCGCATACGTCTCTTTATTTTGAAACCTATTTGTACATGTTGTTATTTTCCATTTTTTTAAATTTAGACATGATGATGTTATCGGGTTCTCTTACTTATGTGTGAATTAATTCTACTTGTTAGTGTTGCACTTGCCTTACTTCGCGTCTAGTTTATTGTATATGTTTGTATGCCGTTTCAAGTTTTATTCGCAGAGTTTTGCAAAGAACAATTTATTATGTTGTTGATTCAACTCAAAATTGATAAACTTGTCGTTAGAAATGAATAAAGCTTCTATCATTTTGTCTGAGAATAACAGTACTATGACTTCTGCTATTTGTTGACAACCATGCCGTGAAGCCATTCCAGACCTTCCACCAGACCTTCGCCAGTGATGGCATTTGATGTCTGCACGTACCACTAAACCTCATTTGTTAAACATAACTTTAAATATCTGTTTGGCAAAAATGAAAAGATTGCTGTCGATGGCAAATATCACGAAATACAAGCGTCCCAAATATTGCACCACTTTCCTTCACTTGCAATCCAGGATGTATCCATGGGAGGTTACACACAATTTTTAGTCATACATTTGCTTATTGAAAGGAATGACAATCGTTGGATATGCTCCCTGTTGTTGTATGGCTCCCAATTGCTTCAAACGCAACTCTACTGTGGCCCGCATGGCATCCTGGGGTGTTCTCTTCGAAACTTTGCAGAGAAAAGGCTCCGGCTCATCCATGTGGATGCAATGTTTAGTGCAGGCTCTGCCCCTTAGCCCACATAGGATGGTCCAGCACGTTGGAATCAATGGATAGGAGAGCCATTCGTTAGAGGATCTGAAATGGAAAGAGTAGGTTGACAGCGCTCCTGAACAATTTTTGTCTGCTGTGCAAAAGCTGGGTTCCTGATGAAGATGAGCTGGTTGTTGGTTTTGGAGATGAGATATCACTGCTGCATATGACAGGAATAGCGATGTAGTTCTTACTGAACCTCTGCCTCATCGACGACTTCAATTTATCCATCCTTTGCATTATTCCGATGGAGCGTCGTGGCCCTTGTGGAACTACAAAATATTTGCCGTTTTCCTTTGTTACAGAAGCTGCCTCGCGCATGCGAATAGGTCGCACTGAAAGACCTTCCACCGTTGTAAAAATAGAAAAGGTTTCATCCCACCACTGAAACAGATTACAAGAAGTTTCCCTCTGAACTAATCATTGAGAAAAATGGGGTAAAAAAATAATCGAGTACTTTTGCTATGTAAATTTGTGAAATTGGGCGCCCATAGTTTGGGGCACAGTCTACATCGCATTGGTAGGTTATTGTGTAGTTCAAAGGTTTATGGTTAGCTTTCTTAATGGGAATGATGGTTTGACTGACCTATCTAACAGCCTTAGTCTAGTTAGTGCATGGAATTTTTACGACTGATTTTTGTGAAGGAATATCAAAAAACGCTGAAACTGCTTGGGTCACCACATATAACTACTGCATACAACTTTCGCTGTCTAATTTGAGCAGTACCCTCGTTAGTGATGCGATCGCTAGCAGAATGGAAGCACGCGTTATTTGCCTCCAAGGTAAGTGCTACGCTTAGAAAGCGAAGAGTAGCCGCAGATCCTGTTTCTTCCTATTAAACGTTGATAAGCAACCCAATCCAGAGAGCTAGGGGCGTAGGTTTAAGGGCCTAGACGCGTAAAGCAAAACTGGCGCACACCGTGACTCTGCGCTTGTCTCTCGGTAACTTTAGCGACGTGCTATGGGAGACGATGCATTCGTCGCTTGGGAAATGAAAGCTGAAGTTGGTACCGAGTGGTGCAGTCATGAAGGGAAAATAGAAGAAAGTGATCCAAAACCTACGAAATAAGCCGTTTTTTGCACATTAGTTTAAAGGAGGGATTACGATCTCAAGTGTGCATGCAGCGTGGAAGTACATGCACCAGTGGAAGCAGTAGTCAGAGCAGGGCCAACCCTACGTTGTTACGAATAACAACGGGGGGGGGGGGGGGGTCGTACCCTCTCGGTGGCCGACAGTGGGATTCTTGGTAATATCGGATAATAGCCAGCACGTTACGTTTTCGTAAGATGACTGGTACTAGAGCATCTATAAACCACGCTTCCCTCTAAATGAGCTTTCAAATGAATCAGCGAATTAGAAGGGCGCCCGAGGCGTGGCGCGCACCAAGGCAAGGGATGTAGTGCAAGCGCATGCTCGGAGCTTTCTAGCACATCCTAAATTAAACATAAAATTGGTCTTCCAAGAAGTTACGGGCAGTGAAACCTAAGAAAACTCGCGTTTTCGAGAAAATGGCTTGAAGAATACCCCTCAAAATAAAAAGTAACAACGGGACTAATTTTTGAACTGCTGATCTTTCAGGAACGCTTGGGTGCTCGTTAGAAAGCTTGAAACCTGTAGTTTATTATACCGTGTTCAGCTTCCCAAATGAATGACTTTGAAGGAAGTTATGATCGTTTGAAGGTAAAAAGTCGCGGTTCCAAAAAAATAGTAACGCAAACCCCCAAAAAAGTAACAACGGGACTAATTTTTGAACTACTGATCTTTCAGGAACGCTTGGGTGCTCGTTAGAAAGCTTGAATCCTGTAGTTTTATTATACGTAATAAGTTTTATCAGGTAATATTGTCAATATTCCGGTCACTGGTTCAGTTTATTTCATCTCCTAGTTTGGTAACCCTTTGGAGTACACGGATATCTTTGAATGCATCTCATTTTTTCGTGTTTGGAAGCAGCGATGAATATCTGTCGTGGATTTTGCTAAAGTTTCATCTTTGATGACTTACGTAGAAATAAATATTGATGGTAAACACTGTCTCTACACAAGTGTCACATACAAGGGGGGTCGTATCAAATCACCCATGAAGGGGGGGGGGTCGTAAAAAATTTCCAAAGAGTAACAACGATAGGGTTGACCCTGAGTCAGAGACCGAAGAAATGTAATGTTACGCTTTCGAGGCCAAAGGTGCTCTAGCTGCAGCGTACAGGGGTTGCCATTCCTTTCTGAGCCCGCCACGGCCTCTGCTCTGCCCCCACGAGACGTCCAGAGGAAAAGGTGAAGTTCTCTATTACGAATACTCCACGCGAAAGCGTCAGGTCACTGTCCCTTATGCGCCCAGCCTCCCTTTATAATAGAAGACACATTCCACCTTCTTCAATATCGAATTTATTGTGGCACCTGTTACAAAAAAGATGCCACCCAGATATCGATGAATCTCTGTGTAGTGGATGGTATACTTCTATTCGCTTTGCTGAATGTGGCAAAGACTTGGAGATCATTAGAATAGTAATATAATACACCCGCCGATGACATATCCCAAAAATAGACAGTAGGAGCGGGTCAAGGCGAAAGCTTCTCTCCACCGCCTCAGTTTAGCATTCTACTCAAATGTTTTGGAAAGTTGGTGTCTATGGCAGGTCACAGTTCGCCGGTCATGTCGCTTCCAAAATGGCAGAACATGTGCCCTTATGAAACGATCTACGCGCGAAAAAGGAATGACGGTCAAGGGTTATAGGAGAAGTTCTTGGGGACTAGTTTTCTCAGTCAAGTCTCCAAGTTCGACATTACGTTTGAATCATCTGGTTAACAAGCACTTAGTAGACTTACTTCTCTATTCCTTATACTGTGCAGTCCAGAGCCTTTGAAACGTTTCGGTGGCCGTTCAGTGCGGGGCATGGCATATCTTGTTTATTGGCGAACACCAGCAGCACGGCATCTTGAATGAACGATGTTTATTCACCGACTTGTTTCAGTTTTATCAGGTAGGACTAGCAATCTTGGATCTGAGCCAAAATGCTCATTTCTGAGGACCGATTTCGGGAGCAAGGAAGAGCGCTTGCCGCTCAATGCATAAATGGCTGCTTAAAGCAACAGTTCAGGAACGGTTTCGCGGGAAAAAACCACCAATAATGAAGTTGTAGATGAAAACCAGACGATTAATGTATGAAAAACTGGAAAAAAACGTCGGGGAGGGTCTTAGACAGGTACTCTCCCTCTGCCGCTCAGCAATGGATAAAGACGCACGTTGGACGAGTTGTCTGAACGTGCCCGCTGTAAACGCGCTCCATTTTTCAATCAATTTTCCCTGTGGTCCCAAACGAGCACGATTGCCGACGCGTCCAATGACGGCCGGCAAGGGGGCGGGATTGGGGAAATCCCCAAGAACACCCATGTTTGAGGGACTTTCCACCCTGTTTTTGAGTTTCTGAGGTAAGTTCGTTTATTATTTCCACTGCATATGTTCTTCACTAGGGCTCGTGTATCCCTCAGTAGTAGTGGCATTGAAATTTTCGGACCCTCCCTGAACTGTTGCTTTAAAGGATTTTTCCGCTACAATTTACTTTTGTCTTGTATTTAGCCTAGAGTAGGGGTGACAAGCCAGCTTTTGGGGGGCCCTTACATTTTGTGCTCGCAATCTAACGATAAAGATGAGAGCTATACTTATAACTCGTAAGACCCATTCAAAATATACAGGGGTGGCCAAAAAAAAGAGACACTTTGCCCATGGCGCACTTCATCGAACTTTTCGTCGCACAGAGTGCCGATGTTAGTGAAACTTCTACGGCGTAATACTCCATAGGTGTTCCCCCGTAAGCAGAAGCAGCCCCTTCGCTGTCCCCGCCGTCTCCAGAATATGACGTCATCTACCGCCACCGTCGAGCTCAACGAGGCTTACCGTAATCGCTCCGGCCTGAAGCTGCTTCACGATTTCTTCAATGGATTACGGTTAATAGCTTCCCAGAGACATTAGCTGTGACTATGCAAAACCGCTTTTGACCAGCGTTTCAGGGACGTCGTAATGGTCTATGGTACCTCGACGACCCCGTTGAGCTCGTATCGCGAACCATGTTTCCGTGGGAAAATCTTCTGATGTCGTCGGTGTAGAAGGCTGTCGTATAAGTTTAGATAGATTAGAAGGTGCTCTTCAATAATGAGTTGGGGGTAGTCGATTTGATATTAGCAAAGTGTGATTAATGCTGTCTGAAATGTGGAGTCAAGTGTCTCTTTTTTTTGGTTTTGGCCACCCCTTACTTACTGATGATACCGTGTTAGTGTGGAAGAATCCTGAAACGCTTCCACAATTTGGCCTGCAGTGGTGCAGGTAAAGGCTTCGTCGAAACTAGGAGAATGGAGATTGTTGCAGCGGTCTAAGGTTGAAGAATCTCCAGGGTGGGTGACGTGGTGCAGAAAATTGGATAGCATGTGGATTGGAGCTGTGGAATGAACTTGAATGACTCTTTAGACACCCACCGGTTCTTATCAAAGGTGCACTTCAAATGAGTCTCCATATTATCTTATCCTGTTCGTTAGAGAGCACAAAAAGGTGCTCTGTAGGTCTAAGGGTAACATAGCAAGGAGTGCCTCCTCCCCCCTCCCAACTGAATTTTCACCAGAATGGGTGACTGGAACGGACACAACGCAGCAAAAAATGAATAAATCAGCCGGTCAATCATGTCGAAGTTCATCAATATCATGTGAAAGATCATGTTGAAAGATTGCTTAACTCCCAGTGAAACTCTAACAAGGAAGGTCTTCAGGGTGTCCAAGCTTTTTCAAAACGGTCTTTTGCATGATATAGAGGCACATGCGGGAACCACAGAACCATGGTTAATTTTTCCTGAACGGCCCTCTGAATACCAGAAAAGGGGGTCCCTAGTCACACCTTTTTCACCAGTTTTTCAATCAAAGTCTACATAGACTTGGATTGAAAAACTGGTCATGAATTTGGTACTAATTATTCATGCTAACTCCATTTTGCGCGAATTTGGAAACGTCAACTCGAAATGCAAAAACTTGTCACCACGAGGAATCGAACTAGGGACCCCTTTTCTGGTATTCAGAGGGCCGTTCAGGAAAAATGAACCATGCTTCTGTGGTCCCCATATGTGCCCCAATGTCATGCAAGAAACCATTTTGAAAAAGCTTGGCACACCCTGAACGACCTTTTGTGACATACAATGCAGCGTGAAAAAGAAAAACCTATTCCTCAAAACAGAGACCTTCAATTTCAACGACTCCCAGTCATCAGTCTGTCATCCAATCAAAACTTAATTTTATATCTGCTGATAACACTGGAAGTGGTTGCTCTTCAAAAATGAGCATCACTAGCTCTATACGGTACCTCCCATTAAGCTTTTTTTTGTTTGGTTGTTTTGTTAAAAAAGACGCGGAAGACGCGGATCCGCGTCTTTTTTCGTCTTTTTGCTATAATTTGATTTCTGATCGCTTTTCGACATGAAAAACTATACCATTAGACTCAGCTCGTCGAGTGCTATTAGAATGTCCTCTCAGATTTCAGAAAATTTCATTTTTCTATTCCAAAGTACCTGAGGCTACTCATTAGCGAGCGTCGCTCGCTATAATTACAGCCAGAGACAAACAGCTTCCACTAGTATTCAGCAAGCCTTTTCGCTTCTTTTTTGTTTTGGAATAGTATGAAAAAAGTGACTAACGTGTTCTTCAGGTGATGCTGATCATTTTGATACCTGATATTCCCTATTTAAGTCAACTTTGTTTAAATCCATTTTTGGAACGAAGTTGCATCTTTGAAGCGAAAAATAAGGAGAATGGGCCAAACTATGACATCAGCTGAATAGAGCACCTCTTCTAATTAACCTACCCTGCTGATAGTAAGCTTTTCAAGTTCCTCTCTGCCACCAGCTGTCAATTTCGGGCCCTTGTTTGAGAGGAATTTTCACATTTTTTCATCGAAAGGAAACCTCCCAAAAGTTATATCATTCGAATACTCATCGAAAACACTATGTAATGATATGAAGGGTAAGTCAGGAATTTTCTCATTATTACTTCAAATTTTGGCACTGCCTGCCTTCTCTTCCCGCGAACACTCGACCGGCGAGCTAATTAGCCGTGTCACCGTGGCCGATGACCTAAGCATCTTACACCACAATTGCCGTATGCCTGCAATTCTTTGCAGCTGATACAAAGTTTTCTTGTTAGTTCTTTCACTTTCGACAACGAAGATCTGTTTCGCAGCTACTGTCCAGGATTGTGGCTTCTAGCAATTCAACATGCTCTAATATTAATTGATGGCGATGTACAACTTCAAGGCTTGAAACTTTATATTATTCATCGTAATTATTTGACATTCAGAATAAATTAAATGTTGACGCAGTGCGAGCACTAGCACTGACGAGACAGCTTTTCAATTTTTAAGATATTTCCCCGAGTTTTTTGATAATCCATGAGTTTTTAGCACTATGGGATGTAAATATATCAACCGAACCTTTTGCAAGCGTTCATGAAAATTTCTCTCGATCTAACAGTTCTCTCTTTTTTTCAGTTCCATAGGCGCCGATTACAGTCGATATCCGAAAGTTGGGGTAGGTGTGGCACCGGAAGTGACGTGCACTTGATAGAAGTTGCGTGGATGAAGCTGTTTCCAGCATGCTTTGCTGATATCCAGCGATGTATGCTGGCAACAGCTTATCCACGCAACTTCTATCAAGTGCACGTCACATCCGGTGCCACACCTACCCCAACTTTCGGATATCGAGTATACGTGCAAGCAATCCACCCCCTACTGAACCCTTCATTACTGCAGCAAGAGTATTACGCTCCCCTTGTTATCCTACTTTCACAGTTGAATTTGATCAGAGTGCTTTTGCTATCCGCAAAACGAAGCTGAGAAACTAGCCGTGCAGTTCAGTATCTTGGACAAGAGAATGAATCTCGTTTCGGGCCTCATCCATCCGGTCAACGTCAGCACTGTCGACGACAAAGATTATTGCCTGAAGCGTGGAAAATATTAGTAATCTTAGCCGTCAGTCATTTCTTTATGACCACAGTATTGTTAGCATTACCACTGGCCTGTGTATCACGGAAATAGTACTTCCAAAGGGCTCTGATCCGTTGTTGTCCACCAACATCCCAAACAGTGAACGAGACATTGCGATATTCCACGGTTTCCAAATTGAATCCTAGAGAAAACCATCACCATATGCATTCCCTCAAGATTTCTGGACATTTCAGAATTCACAAAAGAAGATTGAAGAATGATACTGAATCTGAGCAGTCATTTCTGTCATACAGATTCTTGTAATTACATATAAGCAGCAGGCGGATTATGAAGTTCGAATGTTAATCTCAGTTTTGCACAAGACAGCGATTATGGGCAACCTGAGACCGGCCGTGAGAACTGTAAGTATTATAACTGGCATCACTTATTGAAAATGCTTCAAAATTACGGGGCCGGAAAACTGTCGTCTCAACGTAGGCTCCGACTTGCACAGCAATCAAGAATTGATTAAAGGCAAGTTCGGGCTCAGACCCACCTAAGAAGCCCTTACCATGGCTAGAAGTGCTGGGTACGCAAGTGCAAAGGTAGCGCCACCTTTCTACATCGAAACGCGTCACTAGGACCCTAGGCGCCATGGACTTCTAACAGACTCCACCAAACTTAACATGGTCCGCCAGGGTGAAATCGTGTCGAGGAAATAACCGCCTCTTTACGACCCCCCTCCAAAACATGAACTCTGATACGACCCCTTTTTGCACATCCGGTTTCATATCAAAAAATGCTAGTTTCAGATGTGCGAGAGGGACGCAGCGCCGCTGCCACGCAAATGCGGCTTGATCCAAATGCTAGATTCAATTCTGCTCAGATTAGGTTCTCCTTCTTTCCTTTACATTTAACCTTTGCCACATTGGCCGGAAAGTAGAACATTGAAGGAGGTACTGCCCCTACACAGTTGAACAGTCTCGCGCTCCAGTATAGCGGCGCTAACTACCGCGATCGCGTCGCGCGCTGTGCCTAGAGCGCGCTAGTTGGAAAAATCGTCAAATGTACCCCCTATTTAAAGGACTATAACTTTCTTCATTGATAACCATTTCAGAAAGTGAAGGCAGCTTTTGAATGCACAAGACTTCTAGTTTCTAAATTGTGCTGAGCGTTTTTCTAAGCACGCCTATTCTCGAGAGTGGGAGACGTCGAGAAATTGTCGAGGAAATTGAAATTTACATGCGAGTTCCCACTCTTTGGAAGACAGTAGCTGTCTTCATTGGCAATGCTTTGAAAATCGGAGGAAAGCGTTGTAAAGTAGAAGATTTACGCTTTCTGATAGGTGCTCCAGTTGTTTCGAACGCTTTCTAGTTCGCGAGAAATCTGCGTCGAGGAAATGTCAAGGAAATTTTCGAAGCCACTCGAAAACTCTATTACTCCCTCGCCGTAGTAGGGAACTTCTTTGAACACCTTCAAAATACTTCTGTACACGTCAGTTCGATGGAGTAAATTGAAAATGATGCACTTGGCGCGGATCCATTCCGTTCTTGTATGCGCCATGCAGTGACCCCACTCGGAGTCATTGGGAAGGTGTTTTGTCCTAGTGACGACTTGCTTAAGCACACCAAAAGATATTTCCAGTATTAACTAATTAGGATAACTCTTGTGGTCATAGTGATGTCTGATCATTCCTTTATTCAAATCGCTTCCTTTCCAACCCGTTCTGATGAATGACAGCTTGCGGTTGCAGGATCTGATGATGCCAAGAAGGCTGCGAATCTGCCTGTTTTGAACTTTCTACCAAGATGCTGTTCCTCCACTAAGTTCTCGAAGCATGTACATCATTCTAGAGTAGATACTCGCTGCCCTTTCCCTACGATTCTTTTGCAGGACGCGTTGCCTTCCTATGCCATACTGATCACTACGAACCAAACCAACAACCACTTGTAAGCAGAGTCAACCCTGCGTTGCGCAGTTCTCAACGGCCACGTTGCGCAGTTTCGCCCGATTAGACACGTTCTCTCGCGCGAACATTCACACTCGCATGCTCGAGCCGTCTGCGTCTCCGCCCATACAGCGTGCGTTGAGGATCTCTCAACGTGCCGTTGCGAACTGCGCAACGCAGGGTTGACTCTGCTTGTAAGATGTTATTTGCATTAGGCTAAGTACAACACTTGTGAAACTAATGATGACAGCAAATAAGTGGCAGCAGCACCGTTGTGTCCGTTGATGAACCTTTTGATTACGACCCCCTCCCAACTCTCATCGGAGCAAATACGACCCCCTGTCGAGGATTTCCTCGACCGTTATTCACCCTGGTCCGCCCACCGTTCGATATCTTGTCTGCGTCGCTACGTTGATCTGCTATGCTCTCTCTTCTCGGACTTCTCTACCACTCTCCGCGCTCACATTATCTCTCATCTCCCTGCCTGTCCTTTTGAACTTCTCCACAGCATAGAGCAAAATGCTCGTATTTCCTGTGTATTTCAGGATTTTCTTTTTCTCCACTGGCGGTCCACCTCCCATCCCTACTTTCACATTTGAGTGGAATCATCCCATCAATTTAATCCTGATTCTTGCCTTTAAAGCAACAGTCCAGCAGGGTTTTTACCTTCGACACTAATGGTGTGGAACGATGCGCTAGCCTAGTCAAGAACATAAGAAGTGTGACTGAACAAAAAACTCACCTTGGAAAGCCGCTAGAAAGGGAGCTGAACGGCTTCGAAGTGGGCGTGGTTGCACAGTCGGCGGCAGTAAACGCTAGCGCTCTCTATCCGCTAAACCTGCCGTCGGCCTTCGTCCATATTAGGAGATCCGCAATTCCTTCTTTAATAAGCCACAATCAACTCTAAAATCTCACCAATTGTTGGGATTGTAGTGATAATTTCTCCAAGTTTGAGCTTGTATAGAACGGTGGTTTTTCCAGCATTGTCGAGACCAACCTTAACCAATAGTTTACCATATTGGTATTTATTCTACTCAACATCAGCACATTCCCTAGCCATGAGAGATGATTGAGCCGTCTTCATCGAAATCGAGAAACTTACCATAAGGATCCGGCAAGGTTTCCGCCCGAACCAGTAAAAGCGGAAGCGAGACCATGCAGTCCCCATTCGTTTTCTGGAGCGTAAATTCCTCTTCCCTATTAGCGGAGATACCAACTGACCACTCCGTGGGAAAATATGCTAATTGCCAGTTCCCGCTTTTATCAACTACTCACGTGGATTCTGGCCTCAGAACATGTTTTTGACATGATATTAGTTTGAGGGAAGAATTGATATCCCGCGGATGTTATGGGAAGATTCACCCATGGTTATTCACAATGACCCACCTTTCGGAATTCTCAGTACACGAAGACCTTTTGGATTGTCTAACCAGGACTCCTTTTTACAGTTATTCCATTTCCAAAGAAAGAAATCTGAAGATCAACATGACGTCAGCTTACAAGCGAGGCGTAGGTCTATCACTGCCTCCCTACCAGCTTGGCACTCCTTGGAACGGCCTTCATAGTTGCGACTAGAGACAATTGTGACAGGTAGTAGGCGATGAGAGGGTTTTGCCATTGGCCTATCGCTGTCACTGATCATAAATTTTACTTCTCTTCTTCGATTTCAATGACTTCAAAGTGATGACTTGCAAAACTCTGTTAATGAAACAAGGATATTCAGCTCATGAGATTAGATACGTATCGATTGGAATCGCTGGAGAGTAGTAAATTAGACGTCTTCAAAGAAATCGATCAATGCGTATATAATCATTTCAGCGCACTATCCTGTTCTATTGTCTTCCTTTATTTCACTACTTCTACAATATGTATATGTATAATACTTGGGATGGTAAGAAAGTCCTGAGCCGATTTTTCGAAAGCTCCAGAACTTTCGCTTATTGATCGATACCTAGAATCTGCTACGTGATAGATTATCGCTGTCGATCATACTTCTCCGCAGTAGGTATATATTGCCGGGTTGCCTTCTTTAACTTTAATCATGATGTCGATTCCACAAGAGCACTTTCGAGCGATCATCTTCAATGAATGGCGCTGCGGCACAGGAGCAGTGGAAACCGTCAACATTATCAGCATCGCATTGGGAAGGGACACCACTTCCATCATCAGTGCCAAGCTCTGGTTCGCAGGCTTCGAAGGAGGAGACACGGCTTCCGAAGACAAGTCAAGGTTGGGAAGCCCCCAAACAGTGGAAGACTCCACCGTTCTCGGCGCTGTCGAAGAGGATCCGGAGGTTAGCACCCGCAGCCTTGTGATAAGACTCGGGTGCACCCATCCCACAGTCCTCGGTCCCCTCCACGCCCTCGCCACAGGAAAGTGCTCCTCATGTCTTGACCGATAGCACGCGGTTCAGGCGGGTACCCATTTGTCAGTTTCTCCTTCTTTGTCCGCACCGAAAGGAGTTTTTGGAAGGCATGATTACGAGATGAGAGTTGGGTCCTCTACGATTCTAACAAGCACAGTGCCGTGTGGCTCCCTCGAGAAGACCCGCCGACACAAGCAAAATCGGACCTTCACCCCAAAAGCTGTCTTCTTTGCTGGGATTCGTGAGGAATGTTGTATTATGAGCTGCTCCCGCAAGGACATACCGCTACCGGCAGCATTTACGCCAGTCAGCTCCAGAAACTAGCGGACGCTGTTCGAAGAAAAACGACCGAGACGAACTTCTGTCCACCTACTCCACGATGACGCCAGGCCCCACATAGCTAAAGAGACCCGTGCAAAATTGGAAGAGCTGATCTGGGACGCGGTTCCCCACCCACCCTATTCCCCTGACATTGCCCTCTCTGATTATCACTTATTTCATCCCCTCAAGGCATTCCTAGCGAAGAAAAAATTCACCAAAGTTGAAGACGTTGAAAGAGCGGTCAGCGATTTCTTTGACTCTCAGTCTGCTCAGTTCTGGGAGAAGGGGTCGCTGACCTGCCCATTAGGTGGGACTCTGTAGTGAGTAACAATGGTGATTATATTGTTGAGTAGATTCCATTGTACGCGGAATAAAAAAGTAAAGCAAAAAAAAGTGTCAAACGGCTCAGGACTTTCTTACCATCCTAATACTACTAACCTAATATCCCCTCTACTACTATCCTGATATCGTAATTTGCTACTCTCCAGCGATTTCCATCGATACGTATCTGATGTTCTCAGCGGTACATCCTCTTCTGCATACTATTACTATCCTAACCTCCGAAGTCGCTAACTACAAATGCGGTCCAAAAGAGTGAAAAAATCGCTATGACTGCCAACCCAATTCACACAGCGTGGCGAGGTGGACGTAAGACCAGTGGGAATACACTCGTTCCTATCAGGACATAAAGTATTAGAAGTAAGCAGTTACTAGGATGGTAAAGTCTACACGTAATGATCGCTTGTGAAGAAGAAATCGATCATATTGGCAGGACACAAATTTTGAGCTCATAGTCAGCAAAATATGCGTCAGGCTTCCGATATCGTCTGTATGAAAGGCTTTCCAGATTCTCGTGACCTTTTGGGGTGTGATATTGAATTTTCAGGTGGAAACAGTCGGCAAGAGTCCACTTTGGCAGAGCGTCGTCATCCAAAATCGAAAGTGCAGGAAGGAAGCTGACCTTTCTGAAATTCTCGCTGCCCCATCCCTCGCCTCCTGCCTCTTACCTGAATCATCATATTACAGTGAGAGGTCGCGGCCTTGCTATTAACCTATCGCTGCCATTGATCACAAATTTTACTTCTTTTCTTCGATTTCAATGAATTCGAAGTGGTGACTTTCAAAACTCTGTATTTCGCTGTCTTTTCGATGGATCCCACATTTTTTGGCAGCCCGGAATTACACAACCAATAAAGATGAACGGTGTTGAGTCGACTGACCAGAAGAATACCAGCACTCTACTCTCCCAAAAAATGTCTATGGTGATAGATTCACTCAGCTTCTTATATTTATTCATGACGGCCTGCACAACAACAATAACAATAACAATAACAACAGGAACAACGTAGAATGAAACAAATGGAAACTAAATGGAAACTACAAGGTACAAGTTCTAAGATGTTGCTGGGAAGTATTCTCGCCTACCAGTTTTAACGTTTTTCAGTCCATTGTAAAGATCGGAAATAATCCCAGACTTCGCTGCTAGTGCAGGGCGCGAGAGATACGGAACATTACCAGCCGGCTGAAACATTGGACTCGAGAAAATCATCGCTTCCAAAGAAAACGGAGAACCATAGCGGTCAGGGGATTTGGCGTTACCGCAAGGATGGTGTTAATATCATCGATCATCCCCCAGGTCAGCATCGAACCCGTGCTCTCGCTTTTCGGGCAGTTATGTCACGGATGACACCACCGAGGCACCGTTCGAATAACTCAGCAGTAATCACTCATCCACAACAGTGAAAAGCAATTCAATGTCTTGTCACAGCTATTTTCTTTGACTGAGATGCTTCTTTTTCTATTGTTACAGAGGGAGATCGCTGTGCGAATAGCTCCGAATAGCCTTTGAGACTTACCTGAGATTCTAAAAGCATCTGAGGCACCATAATATCAGTTCCTCTAGCGAATATGGTAACTTTCGAAAGTTCTGATGAAGGAGTAGGCGTTATTACATAGAACAAGTT